TCGGTGCTATTTAGGGCGCTTGGCTGGGGGGGGGGGGGGGGCGGGGGGTGGGGGGGGGGGGGGGGGTGGAGGGGGAGGGTAGGGAGTGGAGAAAGGTTGGGAGGGTGGACGGGGACCAGAGCTGGGGTTGAGGGGGAGGCGGAAGGAGAGAGGCTAAAGAGAGAGAGAGAGAAAGGGTAGAGAGGGAAGGGGAAGAATAGTGTGGGGGAGGGGCAGAGAGATGGAGAGCTCCAAAGGGATGATGGCCCAAAAAAGGTATAAGAAGGGACAGAGAGACAAATGTTCAGAGGGAAAAGAGACTGGAGACCGGAGGGTCGACTGAGATGGGAGAAAAAGATGAAAAGGAAGAGGAGGTGGGAGCGTGTATCGGTAAACAAGCCGCAGGCGTCCTGCCCGACATCAGATGAGTGGGGGAGGGGAGGGTCGCCTTCTGGAGAAGACGCGCCGAACTGACGTGTAGGGGGCACAAGTGGCTGTACTAATTTGCTGCCCCAGGTCTCTTAAGGACTTTTCAAAGTGCCCCCCACGGGGGAAAATGAGGAGGGCCTGTCCCTTTTCGCTTTTATTGTTGGATTCGATGAAGGAGGGGTTTTGTTTTGTTTTGTTTTGTTTTTTTAAAGTCCCCTGGGTTTACTAGAAAAGTCCATCGGTTGCTGCTTTTGGAAAACACAAACACAATCCGGCCTAGTCACTCGTTGCCTCCACCCAAAAGAAAAGCCCCGGCCCCACCCCTGGCCCTTCTACAGCGCGTTAGATCTTGCCAATTAAACAAAGCTGAGGGTCTCCCTCCGAAGACGGCTGCAGAAAGCATTCTCTAGTCTCGTCTGCTTCTTTGACGTCCTCCTCGTTTTAAAACGTAGGGCTTATAGTCATTGCCCTCCAAGCTCAGGCTCTACTCCCTACACAGGCATGCGCCAGTGATAGAAACCTAAGGCTTGCCCTAGCTTGGGAAGTGATATTTAAGGAGAAAATTAAGTATATGGAAGCAGGAAAACTGCGTTTTAGATTTTTTTTTTTTAAGTGGAATCGGAGTAAACAAGGAGACAACACTGTAGGATTGTCACCCGCTGCAACCACTTCTTAACCAAGCCAGGGAGAAACACTGAAAAACTGTTCACTGCTTTAAAGATAACAAATGTTTGCAGTCAGGTGAATGAGTGCTCACTTAGATAGAGCTGGGTTGTTTTTTTTTTTTTCTTTTTTCTTTTTTCTTTGGTGACTTTACCTTCCACCCTTAAATCTTTTAAGAAACTAAGAATAGGAGTTAGCTCTCTCTAATTCCCCACACGATGAACTTAAGTGGCAGACAATTAAGATATCTCCTTTAAAAGGCGTCCCCTCCTAGCGGCGCAAAGAAGGGACCTTCAATGGGCGCCCTGCACCTCCCAGACTAATCCGAGAAGAGAGTGAAAGCGCCTCCCATTATCCCAGCCCCAGGACCATCTGACGCAGTGGATAGGATTTGCTTCCTGGAAGAAGGAGAGGAGTGAGATAGAGAGGGAGAGAGAGGGAGAGGGGGAAAACCAGAAAAGAAAGAAGAAGAAAAAAAAAGGACGCTGGGAAATAAAATCATCCCTTAGTTTCTTAGTGTCTTAATCAGTGAGGCGGAAAACAAGCAAGAAAAGATAGCAACGCGGTTGCGGAACCTTTTCAGCTCTGGAGCGCGGATCAAAACATTGAAGCATCTGTTGAAAGCAGCCTGACTAAATCCTATAGAGGGCCTGGGTATTATGGGGGTTGGGGCGAGGGGAGGAGATGAGAAAAAGTGTCTTCGTGATCCCTAAAACCACCAAATCGCTGGAGAATTGGGGCTGGATAGAGTCGCCTGGTTATTGTCAGCCCAAGTCCTCGGGATTTTATTCACTGCCGCGTGGCGCAGATCAGATGGAAACCATATTTGTCTCCCTCAGAGACCTAACCTCGCCTTATGCTTCTGGAAATGGACTCTTTACAACCCAAGACCGGCCTCCTGGGCAGGAAAGACGGCCGGGGAGGGAGGGGGACCCTCTTAGCACCAAAAGGCCAGAGGAATCTCCAGGGACTGTGGCCTGGAGGGCTGACAACGCCAGACCCCCAGGGTCCCACGAGCAAGACTCGAAGCTCCTTTCGAGCCGCGTTTCCTGGAGGCGGAGCAGAGAGTCTGCCGGAGAGAACGCACTTAGGTGGGAGGAAACAAGAGGGGTAGGTGGGACACTCAGAAGGTCACGAAGCAGCATTCCCTGGAAGTAGCTGCCTGCGGTTAAAAGTTCCCGGACTAGCGCCACCTCTCGACCCCAGCGGTCACCGCTTTGGCTCGCTCTACTGTTCCCAGGGCTGAAAACCTGCCCTAAGCTTCCTCTGCTAGAAACGACTGCCCTGGACTTTCGTCTAGGCACCCAGAAACAGGCAGGGGTGTTTGTTCCTTGAGACCCAAACACCAGGGAGGCCCAGGGGTGGGCTAAGTCTGGGCTTCTGGGCCCATTTCCCACCACCTTTGATCAAGCGCGCGGGGAGGAGGAGAGCGCTGGGGATGGAGAGCAGCTGGAATTCAGGCTTTAGGGCGTCCTGTGGCTGTGCGTGGGGGCATCCTGCACTTTCAAACTTCAGGCATTGCCAGGCTAACTGTATCTCTTCCCTAGACGGTCTCACTACAGACGAGAGAGGCCTGGACCAGCGAGCACGCTGAGCCCCAACCCTCCCGGCTGCGGGCTCGAGGTCACGTGGGCAGGGGTCACCCAAGGGAGTCGGGGACTGCGCTTCGGAGGCCGGCAGTGGCCGGGAGCGGCGGCAGGGCTGGGAAACCAGTGAGGAGCGCTTTTCTCCCTATCGTCCCAATGTCCGTCCTATATTGTTTTCTGCTCTTAAAACTGACATGTCTAATTGGCAATTGGTGCCGAATCGTGTCCAGAGGTCTCTTGTGGAACATTTCTACAGCTGTCTCCTTCAACTAGACGCTTATTCATGTCGCCTTAATGAGAAACAAAACGTTCTCTAATGAGCAATTACAGAGCGACAGGATTGTTCCCATAACAAATTCTAGCTAGTGACAGAAGCATCTTTTGTACCAGATATTTCGCATACTGTTACCGATTTTTCCCTTCTCTAACTCGGCTCTGTGGAGGCGCCCTGCACTCGGGGCCGGTCCAAGAAGCTCGGAGCTTCGCAGCAGCCCCTTCGCAGTCCCCCGCGCCGCCCCCAGCCCTGAGCCCCCAGGCTCTGTGGTGCTCCCGGGAGTGAGACGCCACGTCCCATTATCCCCGCATATTATCTCCTTGTCATGCGGACAACAAATACCGATTAATCTTCGGGGTAAACCGTTTCCTGTTCTTGACCAAGTTACCTCGGTCCGAGTGGGAAGGGGAGAGAGCCAACCCACCCACTCACCTCCCTGCATTCTTCTCACAAACCCTGGCACAGGGCCGCACCGGTCCCATCCGTGCCCCCAGCCCCAGAGCCTCTCCCCGGGAGCCCAGCACTCAGTTTCCCCACCTTGCTTCTAACCAGTTGCCACCCACAGAGACCAAGAGTGGTGGAACCCAAGGGTGCGGAGGGGCAGGAAGGGACCAGGTAAATGGGTTAAAAAACTGAAGTTGTTAAGCTTGAGGGAGGGGACCGCCGCCACCAGAAGTCTTCAGGTCACCCTCTCCTACCACCTGACCTACTCAAAGTCACGCAGTTCGTCAGTTACTTCAAAAGCAGGCGACACACTTATGCTCGCCTAGCAGTCTGCCACACTTGCACTGCAAATGCCCTCTGCTGCGTTTTAATGTCAGATTTGAATAAGGCACCACCAGGCTGGACCTTAAACCGCACAACCCACTTCATACAACTCCTGACGTACAAAACCCTCGCAGTCGACAAGGTGGTTTCACATGGACCGGTTACCCAGAGTGTGAGCTGGGGTACCCAAGCCTTCCAGGGTAGTGCCCCCTCATATCTCCAAGGCACTGGGAGCCCAGAGGAGGGAAACATTTCAGGAAGAAGGCTGTTTTACCTTGCGTGGGTTGCCCTGGTACTGAAGTCCCGGGATACCAACCAGGCCGGGTGCCCCAGCTTCCGGTCTGCCCGTTTAACATCCTTAGTTTATCATACATGCCGTCTGCGCCCATCTGTTGCTTTTCGCTAGCCAGGTTGCGAAGAACTCTGTTTATTGATGACACCTGCAAATCAAACCAAATGGTAGAGTCTCCAAAAGACACATCTCAGATGCCCATTTCAGCTCTCCCAAATGTTAAAAAGAATGGCATGCAAAGCTCCTAGCCACCCTGGCATAGTCCGTGGGTTTATAGCTATGGAAAGAATGACAGCTATCATTTCCTCCTGGAAACGAAGCTGGGTAAAAAGGAGGGAGCAGCTCTTCGCCCCTCCGTACAGATCACTAATGATCGCTCACCCTCAAGGGCTTGCTCAGCTTTGTTCAAAGACTCCCTGATAAGACATTTCAGCTTAACTTGGAGATTTGCTTTATTGCAGAGAAATGGATACATGTTGCCTGAAAGGAGCTTCAGGCAGGTGCTTGGGGGGGCAGAGGGGGGAGGAATCTCATTTTTATTTTCCTCCTTGATTCAAGTACCCTTCCCCAGTTCCTCCAACCCCTGGCTTGGGGTACACAAATGAAGTGAACAAGTCCCTGCACTCGACTCCCATTTTTTCCCCCAGATGTGTCAAAAAGTCAAAGCCCGCCTCTCCATAGCCCCCAGGTACTTTGGAGAACGGTGCACATCAGGGAAGAGAGGGAGAGAGCAAGACGCTGGGAGGGGGATGAGTGGGATTCGAAGATGCCAAAGGTGTGGAGAGAGTGGGGAAACTTGGGGGGCAAGGGAGGGAGATGTTCACAGTGAACTTACACTGGGTATGTTATCGTTGGTACAGACCCCCTCCGATAATAATCTGTCTCGGATTTCCCAAGCAAAGATGGACGGGCACTCTCGTTTATACTGGGCTATTTTGCTTACAACTTCTGGAGTCGCTACTCTTGGCTTACTACCTCCGATTGCCCTGGGCCTGATGGAGCCAGTCTCGTAATACCTGCCCAGAATTTTACTCACACATCCGTTGGACACCTGCATAGGGGAAGTGGACAGAAAACCACATTATTAATAATTTCAAGACAAAAATAAAATTGTGTAAGTATGCATTAAACAATGACAAGCTTACGTTTTCATTGTCCAGCACTTGGACTTTTGCATCTGCATGGGTCTATAACACAAAAATATACCTTCAATGGTGCGAGAACTTACTAGAGAGAGCTTTTTTTTTTCCTAAAATTACATTTGTAGCCCTAAAACTACAAATAGGATGATACTTTCAAACACTGTGAGTTATTTAAAAAAAAAAAAAAGCTTTAAAAACTATTTTCCTAAACACTGCGTGAAGGAAGATGCATCAAAATGAGGTCAGGTTAATAGTTTTTGTGCTGTTCTTGTTTAAAGTGGTATTAGGTTATAAAGAACAAAGGGAAAATAATTGAATTTTTATATTTTCCCTTAAAATTTTGCCCAGTTAAGCAAATGTGAATTAGAGGAATGAATAGCATTTGCCTTCTAAAATCCATATACGTTCTTCGTAAGTATGAAGAACTCGAACAAATCTCCAAAGTCTGAGGTTAGCACGGGATGGGGAGAGGAGAATGAGATTGTCCCAATTTATATAACTCAGCTCATTACAGTTTAGACACACTATTACCAGAATGAATGTCTTTACCACATGAAAAGATATATTTTTTTTAATTCGCGCACATACTTTTTCTTACGCGGATGAATTATCTTACGTAACTGACTGAGGGTGAAAAAGACAGGGACCATGGTGGAAGGAAATGGGAGAGCCGGAAGGTAGGGAAGTTGGTGGGGATGGAGTCGGTGTTGGGGGAGGTCCGTCATTAGTAGCTTTTACAGTAAGAAATGAAGAGAGGACCCTTAGAGTGGGGGGCCTCGGGTGGGGGCGGGGTGGGGGCGGCGAGTGGGGCAGCTACGGGAGGATCACCTGCAGAATTCGGGAAATGTCGCACGGCCGGGCCCCGCTGTGGGCGAGCTCTACGATCTTCTGCCGGGTGGAGTCCGGCAGCGGCCGCCCGTTGACAAAAACGCCACCAAGCTGATTCACTCCGCTGTGACCTGAAGGGAAGGAGGAGGAGAGGAGAGCCGAAGAGTAGAAGGAAGAGAAGAAGAGGAGATGAAGAAGAAGAAGAAGAAGAAGAAGAAGAAGAAGAAGAAGAAGAAGAAGAAGAAGAAGAAGAGAAGAGGAGGAAAAGGAGAAGAAGAAAAGGAGAAGAAGAAGAAAAGGAGAAGGAAAGAAAAGACCACAATGCAACCTCAGCTCCCTGCCAACCTGTGAGAACCTCAGCAATCAGGTCCTGATTTAAAACAAAAACAAACAAACAAACAAAACAAAACAAAAAGCAAAAATCTAACAACAGAACCGCCAGGCACGCAGGCACTGGGCAGCCCAGTCTCAAATACAGACTGACTCTGCCCCTTGAACTGTTGTCAGACGGGGGAAGACATAGCCACCCAGCGCCACCAGCACCCCAACAATTCTCTGAGCTCAGAACCCCTTCAGCCTTGCTGGGATCCCGCCAGGGGCAAACCACAAGCTCTTAAAGTCTCCTCCCTACATCACCTCTGCGTGTCACCCCAGAGTCCACACAGAAGTCTCTGCGGTGTTGGACCGGCCCTGCAGATCCGAGCTCCACAACAGCTCGGCAGAACGTTTTCAAACCTGAGCGTTTGTGATTTAACTCTGGCAGAGGCGCCCAGCACATAACACCGTGTGTGTGTGTGTGTGTGTGTGTGTGTGTGTGTGTGTGTGTGTGTGTGTGTAAGGAGAATAGAAAGGAACCAGGAAGACAAATTTGTAGCTAGTGAGCCCCAATCCGTGCCTCCACAGCAGGCATAGGGTTGGAACCCCTCCATCCACGCGGTGGCCTGCCTGCCCCAAGTGGTCCGCAGAGCCTGGACTCCTCACACCCGCCACCGCTCGCTTTTACTTCCGCTGCTGAACTCCGCCCTCCCGCTCAGCCAAGGACACAAATATTAACAGAGACCCGAACCAGAGAAAAAGCAAGACCACATCACACTGTCACCCGTCCACCCTTCAACTCCTGCCTCTCACAGCCTCATCCCATTGTCTGGTCTTCGAGACTAGGGCGAGGGAAGGCGCGCCTCCCTGAATCATCCCGCTCGGAAACCACAGTAATACAGATAAAGCCAGTCAGTCCCCTCTCTCCGCTTCCTCAGACATCTCCAACCTGCAGCCCCGTCTCTAGACAGAAGCCCTCTCTGGAGATGTGGCTCTCAGCTCCTCTCTTCTCTCCTCTCTCTTCTCCTCTCTTCTCCTTGGAGCCTCCTGATAAATTGACTCCAGGAGCCTGTGCTCCTTAGCAATAAATAAGCTCCAAATATAGACGAGGGGGGAAATATGATGAGCCTCTCTGACATTTGTCTTTAAAATAAAACTAGCTGCACGTCAAGTTTGAGCTTAATTTCTGGAAATAGGCGGAAGTCGCTCCGGATCATGCATGGAAGGCTAATTGAAAAGATCAGTCGGGGCGCTTGTGGCAGCCTTGTCACTTTGTGACAGCGCTCCGCTCCGGGAAATTGCATCGTCACGACAAACGGGACCGTGATAAAACGACCCTTTCCGTCCCTATTTGTAGATCACTCAGACGAGAATGAACTGCGCTCATCTTCCCTTCGAGGGGAGCTGCGGTCTTCAGGGTAGCCCGAGGCTTGGGGCTGGAGGGGGGTTAGGGCTCACCGAGGGGGGGCGGGGCCTCAATTCGATGAGAAGTGACAGGCGTTTAGGGATCTGGGCTCCGACCGGCCCGGGCCACTGCAAGAGGGGACATTGCACATTGCAGGAGACAGTCACTTCTCCAACCAGGGCAACCAGGCCTACCCCGGGCTTCCGGTTGCTCCTAAATTCTCTTGATCGTCTACCTTGGCTTTTTAAATCTCATCTACCAAGCAGGTACAGAGGACATTCTCTAGGCAAAAGAAACCTTCCCAGAGGAAATAAATAAATAAATAAATAAATAAATAAATAAATAAATAAATAAATAAATAAAT